GAACCGTTGGACTCTGCCTGGAACACACTTATGTCAGTTATGGCGGATGGGCTCTCACAGATCAGGTTACGGAGCATGCTCGTTCCGTTGTGTCTTAGGACTCATACTAGAACCCTTGCAGACGGTCGCATAGCGACTAGTAATATACGTAATGACGTAGTACCGACATTAGGAGACCGGAATGTCCATTTCTGGCCTATTAGCCGTCACCAGCCAGTCATATCCAACCCCAAGTGTGGATCACTTGAGACTAGAACCCGGGACCTCTGGTCATGGAGTTTGGCAATCTACCATTGAGTCACGTGCCCGTTGTCCTGTTGGTTGTTATCGGGAATATCAGTTATGGCGGATGGGCGTTCACCGTTCAGGTTACGGAACATGCTCGTTCCGTTGTGTCTTAGGACTCATACTAGGACCCCCGCAGGCATTCGCACAGCGACTAGTAGTATACTTATGAGACCAGAACCGACAGGAAAACGGGCCCGTGGTTCAATGGTAGAGTGTAAAACTCCATGACCAAAGATTCCGGGTTCGAATCTCAAGTGATCTACACTTGTTCTTGGGTATGACTGGCTGATGACGGCTAATAAGCCAGAAATGGCCATTCCGTTCTCCCTTGTCTTCGTAGGTACTATCTCACTACTTATGCCAATGTTCACATTTGTGAAGGTGTGCCAATTAATGTTAGCTTGGCTAACCGATAAGTAGTAAAATCGAACTTGATGCAGAATACCCCAAGCTAGCCCGAACACCCCGAAAGGTTGTTCCCTACTGAAGAGGTAGGCGTAGTAGCATAACTGTCCTATGAGTCTTTGGTCACTTGGTCTCTAATTCGGAATCACGTACACGCAGTCGTCATATTTGGTAGTCGACATTTCATGGTCTCACAATTTTATACTTAGATCAAACTATCGGATAGGTCCCTTCGGGTATCTCTTGTTAGTATTACTGTTGTCAGATTTCGTGGTCTTGGCAAAAAAATGCATGTCCTCTACGCGCAAGTCCAGAAACCTCTCTCTTTTTCTCTCTCCAGGTTGTGAAGCGGACAAATTCGGCGAGCACTGTTCAAAAGACTGCAAGTGTTCTAACGGTGGTCGTTGTTCGCCTACTGTTGGAACTTGTATTTGCCCACAACCCTTTATTGGTCCCAACTGCCTCGTGAGGAATGTGAGTCCACTTGACTTTAAAATAAGGCCAATTCGGAACTGTTTGTTTGGTTGTGTCCTTCTTGTTCAATGAATCCTTTCTTCAGAGGGAGGCTGCCGGAAAGTCATGGATAAAACCTGTACAGCAAGAACCAAAGTACTCTGCAAACTGACCAGTAGGTTGGTGTCGTTTCGAAGAACTCCAGACAGAGACTAGTTATCGCAGTCCGGCAGCGGGTACCCGCGCCCCGACAGTTGGCAATACGTGCTCGATCGCTCAAACAGCTTAGTCACTCGGAGGTTTCGAAGCCACCGACAAGTGCGGATGGCGCACAGATGTCGCAGAATTTGTAGGATATGGTTGCTCGGGCCAGGAGTTGCTTAAGTGGCTTCTCCGCCTAGAGTCAACCACTAGACGTAGAGATTCCACAACCTACAGCCCAAGCCGCGTCAAGATTCTGCGGTAGAGGAGACGCGGATGAATGGCGCTGAGGGTAGAGACTGTCAGGTCATCGGCACGCCAAGTACCAACACTAACGTTAAGGACCCGGTGGCCAGTCGAACACCTCCCGCGCGACCACGAACGTTGTGATGAGGGCTCGGTGATCAATAACTCGTGTCCACGTCATGCCAACTAAAAGGCATTCGATCGCGGAGCATTCGCCCTAGAGATACTGCAACGGCATTATG